ACCGTTCAGCCTCGATCTAATGCACTGACTGTGCTCCATACACTTGCGCAAACACCGTGTTATCAAAGGCTTTCCGCCGGGGAGCTGATGACGGGCATCCTGCGATCGGGCAGACATGGCTTGAAGAAGACTGTAAATCAACAGCAGCACCAACAGAATGGGAAACCGGGCTCCATCCTGGATGGGTGCACTTGTAGGAACAAGCACACTAAAGTCAATGTTCCTTTCCAAACGACCCGTCGAGTTCTGTGGCAAGCAGCACCGCAGTCCCGGGCAATGATGACCAAGCCGCTGACCACCAGCATAATTCCAAACCAATACCCCAGCAGCCTGCCGTTTGTGCAAAGTTGGACAACCCAAGGAAATGTCTTGCGTCCACTCAGAAGAGCTTCAGGCTGTATCTGTTCGTGCCTCCACCAAATTAAGGTTGCCGTCTCCTTCAATATAACTGCTGCTGACACTGCTGTGGTGATGATGGAGGTACCTTAGTGTCGTTCATCCAGGACTCAGCAGCTAGGTCAGCTTCACACCATGGGTACGGTCAATGCCTCAAGCTGCAGCCGAAGTGCCAACAAATGTTGGGATCATGAACCTCGGGGAACTGTGAGAAACGAGAAACGTCAAAACTGTTGAGTCCACCCTAGTAGCGTCCTTGCTCCTGTAGTAATGGCCTCCAACCTACTAGCTTCTTGCTACTAGTAGTAATGGCCTCGCCTCCACCCTAGTAGCGTACTTGCTCCTAGGTGGGATGAGAAGTGCCAAATCTTGTTACATGACGGTTTTTTCCAAGAGCAAGGAGTCACTGCATCTGACGAGTAGCATGGCCTCAAACTCCGCCAGTCCTTTATTTAGCAAGATAGCGTTCATGATGGCCACAAAGAACATGCCTGAAGGAAAATGGACACATGTAGCCCCGTGGTAGGGCCAAACACTGCCCAATGCATCAACTTCTCCCTTGGAACCCGTTCACTGGGACACAAGCAGTACAGCTGCCGCCAATGAAGTCACAAAAGTACCCGCCTCCAACTATAAAGTAGGCAAGTGGATAATTCCACATATCCCAGTCGCCCTCGGCAGCTGCGCGAATTCGGGTTCTTTGCAAAACTGATTTGCACAGGGCCATGCCGCAATGGTCCAATCAGCAAATCTTGGCATCAAGAAAACTGACCATACGCCATCACCCTTCCAACAGCACCATCGTGCCAGGTCACCTCATCAAAGGAGGTGTGGATGACAGTGGCAGTAGATGAGAGAAAGAATCTTTGCCCAGCCTGATGACAGAATCACGGGGCGACAGTGAGGAAAAGCAGGCTTCTTTGTTTGTGTGTTTGTGTGTTTGTGTGTTTGTTTGTTTGTTTGTTTGTTTGTTATCTACCGTCCTCAGCTCCCTTCGTGTGTCAGTGACAAACATTTATATATATATAGCAAGAATGATTTCTGCGTTGCTTCTTCGGTGCTGAGACATATATATGTCCCCTAACAACCTGTTGCCACAAACAAGCCAATCGCTGCCCACATAGACAGGAGGTGATTAAACCAACACATACGTAGCCGTTGCAGCATGCCCCACTGCTGCCCAGGCTCTACAAAGCCACCGCCCATGGCTAGCATCAACCCACGTAGTGCTATCCGGCTGTCACGGCTGGGGGGGGCGGCAAGGTCACAAAGCCGAAGATTGCCAGAGCAAGGCAAACCTTCAAAAAAGGAACACACTGTTTGGATGGTCGAGGATTATCCGCGCAAGGCTTCGGGACAACTAAGGTCGATACCAAAGCCCACCTGGGTGCTGCAATTGATGGCCGAACACGAACGTGTGCGTCTTGCATCTGCGATCACACACCCAATTATGTTAAGAGCATTTAAGAGCCTGCCTATATATTATATGACCTACATCCAACTGACTAAGTCAATGTTACCACTCTCAAGCCTCCCTGCTCCTTACAAGTGCTTGATTTGTGGGCTACGGCTACGGGATGTCTTTCACTCCGCAGCCTTTCTTCACACTCAAGTTCTTCTGTCGAAGTGCCCGAAGAAGTTGCGGCTCAAGAATTTCATTCGGAGAGATGCCATCGTCTCCTCAGCTGTGCCAACAAAGAAACGGCTCTAAACAATGAACACATGCACCAGGAAAGTTTAAGATTTGGCAAGGCATGAGCGCACGAGCATGTCCCCAGTCACCGCTGCTACCCAAGTGTCAGGTGGCTTGTTGTGCGGTCCAAACATTGGGGCCGAGACTGCCCCCGCGAACACGAGGCCTGTCACACACTGTCAAAGCCAGTTGGGAGAAAAGCATGCAATGGCATTGAGCGCCCAAGGGTTAAGGGCCTGTGCCCATCACCTTCGCGCTGCTAATACTTTCACCCAAAGTGTACGGCGCCAGCCTGATTCAGTCGAAAGGTTGCCAAAGCTACCTTTCTTGCCGAATGTTGCATCTTGCACAAGCAGCTGAGTCCACGGCAAAATGTTCCATATGACATCAAAGCCGTCCAGGGGAGCTAGGAGGGATTGTGGAGCAAAGGCATACGCAGAAACTTCTGCAAGTGGCCCGATTGCCATTGCCATGGAGAGGCCGAGAAGCCTATACCTCAATGCAACCGTAGAGAATAGACACGTGCGAGAATACCCAAGCATGTCCACATGAAGGACATTGACAGTCATCAACCACCTTCGCCAGAGCTGCTTCAGACCCTCTCTATGGTCCACCAGGGCTGCATAGCGAAGAAGTTGGAGACCACAAATGATAACTAGAGTCTTGAACAAAATAAGCGCCACACCTTGGGAAGAGAAACTCGAACACCAAGCCAGATCGATTTCTTGCCACCAAGTAACCGATAAAGGGCATTAAGGCAGGACCCCAGTTCCATCTCCTTGGCAGACTTATGCAATGCGCTTTCTTGGGCTTTTCGACGCGCGCCAATGGATCCCCCAAAAAAAAGTTGAGCAAAGGCTCGGCTGAAAAGCTGATGTCTGGTGCAGCAAAAAGGGCAGTGGCATCGTCCGACTCATGGCACCGGCACCACTCGAAAAGCACCAACGGTGCAGCCCCTCGGCTGGGAAATGCGGATGGTCAGTGTGCCCCAGCTGTGGTGGGTTGGATTGCAAGGGATTGCACTGGTTGTTCCTCCTGCACGATCGGAGCCAGGAGATCGCAGCAATTAGACAAGAAATGCGTTCCACATGTTGCACAAGCCGGCAAATTGCTTCATCAGTAGAACGCTAGCAGCGTTGCTTTTGGGTGTGGACATGTTGGATTCAGAGCTTGCTTTGCAAGCGTCGAAGGCTTTCAAGACACCCCATGCCCAATGTCATCACACAGATTGAGGGCCTTTACGGACAACACTGGAGCTGATTCCAATTGGTTTCTTATTCTTGTTGAACTGATGTTCTGCTTCTGGCCCTTGGAAGCTGGCAGCCTCAAGAAATGTCCGCACAATCTTGGGGTGATCGAAGAGAGGCCCAGAGTTGCTGGAGCCTCACTATGATACAAGTTGATTAAGCTATAGCAGCTACGCAGCTGGGCAAGCCTCCTTCAGTTGGCATTATTGCTATCTTCCGGCCATGGACTGCAAAACAAAACTAGTACCCCCTAGAAAAGAGCGATCTTCTTCCATCATGAACTCTGAGCAACAAACTGGCGGCAAAGGCACCATTACAAGCTGCACTTGCAGAACTCCAGCAACCAAAGAAACTTCAAAGAACTAACAAAGGCTTGGAAGCCGAAAGCCGCCTGGAGTCAGTCAAAAACTTTCCCTCCGTATAAGTTGCTGAAGGACTGGTGTTCAACCCACCCATGCTGCAAAGTCAGCTGCTCAAGGACATTAAAGAGAAGGTTGTCAGATGTTGTCAGCATCTCAGCTGCTGGTTGCAAAGTCTTTGTCCCAGTTGGAATGGTCGTCCTAGCGAAGCTCGAAACAAGCCATTAGTTGCACTCACGCTCGCAGTCAAAACTCGCAGGACCAAGAAAGTATGCATCTTTCCGTTGAATGGCGGAATCTGGCTCGGCATTATTGAGTGGCATTCCCAAGGCATTATTGGATGGAGGTGGTTGACGAGTTGCTTGGTGATCTGGAAGGGAGTGTGAGTGGGCATCAGCTTCTGGCCTCTGAAAAAAAGTGTATCTGTATCCCGCATGCTCCGGCCTGTTGTATGGAAACCGTGAATGGCCCAGCATGTGGTTAGTTGAAAGGTTTTGCAGGCTAGCCCGCCTTCACTTCATCATCATTGACGCTATCTTTGGTGGTGGCGTGCACCAGCTAAAGCAGGAGATAAAGTAAATCTTGAAATCTATAGACTGGTAATAGATTTATGTCCCGCAAACGCATATACGCCTCTAGAGAAACTATATTCAAAACATATTCTCATTGCATCCACATGAGGCCTTCAAGTCACATACTGCTCCGCTGCAAGCTTAAGAAATGCAAACAATTGGTTTCGAACCCGCAGCCCTCCTCGTATGCAATGCTTGGTGGCATTTCTTTCGCTTGTGTAAAATTTGACAAGTCCTGAGCCAACAAATTTCATATCAATCTGCTTTTGGTTTGGATTTCTTTAAGCATTCAAGAAGGACACCCAAATCGTCTCAACAAAAGGAACCGTGGTGCTTCTTGCACTGTTCTCAGATCTGCACCCGCTTGCTTGTTACACTTGGCTGGTATGGAGCTGGCATCCTCGGCCCGGCAGTTGACGCAAAAATACAGTACTGTAAAGAATTAAAAAAAAAACAACGACTTCTGTGTCGCATCTTTGTATGAATGTATGTAAGGGTATGGTATGGTATGATATGTATGTATGCGTTATACACACTCTTTCCAGGTCTTTTTCGGCACGCTGGATCAAGACTGGGCCACAGGCCCGGGATTGGGTCCCAGGACTGAAACGTGGCAGTCGCTGTAGATTTGGGTGAAAGCTCCGAGTGAAACTGACCAGACCTGGTGCAACACTTGGTGCCGAACCTGGCTCTCAAATCCAAAACATCCGGGTGAGGTGACGGGTCTTAGTGTTCAGCCCAGCACCGTCTTGCCACGAATGTTCTTTCCAACATATTTTGCTTTTCGGTCCTTTTCCAGCGCTTGAGGGGCGATAACGCCGCCTTTGGCCTTAAATCAGGCTTATGAGCTCGCAGCAACGGTTCAGAAATTGTCACACATGCTTGGTAGATTCACCAGAGGTTTGTGGAGAATGAAATGATAAGTTCCCAGCCATCTGCTTCTGGAGATGACGCATCTTGCGCTTGGTCATTTTCTGCCCCGTAGTACTGCCATTGTCCAGGAAGTTGTCCAAATCACTGAAATCTGAGTCCGAACCCTCCTCAATGGAGTCTTTGGGTGCTTCCTGTTGGCCTGGCACTTCATTCTCAGCAATGCACCGCGAGCATGAAAATGAGAGCTACAATGCCAATGGTGTGTGGAACCCAGTTTTGATTGAAATTCCGAGGCATACGGCATACCTATTCAATACCCAGCCCGGCCCAAGAAGTCGTGTTTTGGGGGAAGGGCTTTGAGGCGGACATCGCGCCTGTCATAGCCAGACTCAAACAAAAGTTTCATTACCCCACAAGTTGCCAAAACTGGATGTAGACTTGAGGCCAGAGGGGGTGAACGAAAGCTAGCCGGGCTTCCGGTGGTCTGCTGCTGGTGCTGCTGCTGCTGGTGCTGCTGCTGCCGCTGCCGCGCTGGGCGCTGCTGCGCTGGGTGCTCTGCAGGCGCCGGGTCGTCTGCTGCTGCTGCTGCTGGCGCTGGGTGGTCTGCTGCGGCTGCTGCTGCCGCGGCGTTGGGTATGCTGCTGCTGCTGCTGCTGCCGCCGCTGGGTGGTCTGCTGCTGCTGCTGGTGCTGCTGCTGCTGCCGCTGCTGCGCTGGGCGCTGCAGATGCTTGGTGTGCTGCAGCTGCTTGGTGGTCCCGCTCACCGCGCGCAGGGGGGAGTCGAACCGCGGGGGGGGGGGGGGTCCATAAGATTGATTTAATCAATTATTTGAGGTTTCTGAGGTGCGTCCACCCCGTCACTTAACTTGCTAAAGCAAGAGCAACTCCAGCTAGCTAAGGCTAGCTTTCGTGACATGCTTATACAGTAATCAAATGTTTGTCATCAATACATGAGCCGTGGGCCCGAGTCTTACCAGTAGTGCGGCTGTGTCAGCAGAACCTCGGGAGTTGTTGCAACGCCATGGATGTTCTTTGTTGTGGATGTTTTCCGGGAAAGTCTTTTTCTGGCACTGTCTCCTTTGCTTCCTTCATTGATGGTTCAGTCTGTGCAACTGGGCACATGACTCATGCAGTTGTCTTGCTTTGTTCAGCGTTACTTGGTTGGTGCTCCTTGCGGCCTTTTTGCAGCCTTGTGGATGGTTGTGCTAGACCAGATGGCGCTCCTACCTACCAAGAGCACATGCATAAGTTCGGTGCTGGGCCATGCTCTAAGCCCGGAGGGGCAGCTTGTGATCATGCCTTTAGTTGTCGATGAGGGCCAACAGCCACATGTGAGAGTGCTTGCGTGGTGCTTCAGTGGTTCGCCCGCAGCTTGTCAGCCCTGGCATCCCGCTGACCAGCGCTGTGATTCCAGACAAGCCCCGTGCAGTTGGACACATTGACTGAGATGAATTTTTCCTTAGCTCCTCGTGGATTCAGTTTAGTTGGATCTCTTCAGAGGCACTTTTGACCGCACCATTCTTGAACGGAGAAGGCTGCAGATGAGACTTTGTTTGGACACTGGGACCGACATCTTTGTTGCTGCTGGTAACTTGACTTGGCTGCCTTGAATCCAATGGCTCGTTTTTTTTGGTTTACATCTATTTGTGCACCCCTGGCATGTACATATCATGTCAGTGGCTTTCCAGCAGATCTAGCCCGAATTGTCCGAGATATCATCAATGCATGCCGGATCCAGAAGAGTGGAGAACAAGGCAATGGCGCAATGGCCCTCAAAAGAGTCAGGGCTGAGTATGGCAGGGTTGTATTATACGCACCTGGACTTGACCAAAGCCCCGCCCAGCATGCCTGTGAACGGGAAGCAGCTCGTTTGAGTTTTGAGCTCAACCCCTTCTAAACCCATGACTAACAAGGACGCTACTAGTAGCTCCTGGCATGACTACTAGGAACAAGAAGCTCCTAGTAGCTCCCGGCATCGCTACTAGGAGCAAGAAGCTACTAGTAGCTCCTGATACTGAACTCGCTTGAGCCCATCCCTTCCCCACTGGGCCTGCACCCTCAGGAAGCTCACAGTGCAGCAGCTGCCCAGTGCAGTAGTCTCTCAAGACACGCCGAGCGGCCCAGGTCTCATCTGGGACACCCACTCGGAGAAAGTGGTGCCGGTGGGTCGCCAACCCACAAAGCACCTGGAAACAAGTGGGCAGTCACATGGCAGTGGTCACAACTACACACAATCTTCCAACCCACCAAAAGCCTTTGCCCCTGCCACTTCTTGATTTGTCATGGATGAATGAATGAATGAATGAATGAATGGCAAGTTGTATGTGTGTATGTAGGCACATATGCACAGCAAGCCATCCATGATTCTTGATCCACCACTTGGACCAACTGTATCATCCTACCTGATGAGCCAGCTCATCCGAAGTCTCGCCGACTCCTCTTCGAATCACTCCATCTTTCACTTCAGCAGCACTGACTCCATACCTCTTCAGGATGACCTCTGCCCCGATCTTTTGAACGATGAGACTCACAGGGGCGATGAAATCCTTCAGCTCATCCAGTGGAACTGTTCCATTGATCACCAAATGAGCTCGAGTTGCGACAATGGAAGGAAACACCAGACCTGGACAGTCACACAAGGTGATGTTGGAGTCTGCAAGCTCCAAGGTCTGCAAATGCTTCGTCTTCCCAGGTGTTCGACTCATCGACACCTTTTTGGCTCCAAAGAGTGCATTGATCACGGAGCTTTTTCCGACGTTCGGATACCCCACGAAGCCCACCACGCCTTTGCGGCCTCGCAGTCGACTCTGAAGCTCTGCCATCAGCTTGGCACAATCGACCACATCTCTGTCGTCTTCCAGGGACCCGTGTGGTGGAAGTCGTTTGGAGGGCCCACTGGGCCCGCTGGCCTCGCTGGGCGTGGCCTCGGAGTCTTCCGAGCCGGGCTCGCTGGCGGCCTCGCTGGCGGCCTCGGCCGCCTCGCCGGCCTCTTCGGCCTCGCTCGGGGCGGGGGCGGCGCGTTGTTGTCGGTGCAGCTCCCGAAGCGCCGAGAAGAAAATCGCCTCAACACCAAGATCCGCCAAATAGGAGGCCCACATCTCACGCTGATGAGTTGACAGGAAATCTGCCTGGCACCCGGGAACGCGACGTATCAGAGGAGAGGAAAACTCACATGATGTTGAGAGAAACACGGTAGGTTGATAATTTGTGATACTCGGATTTAATGCTACATTTTGTCAGACTCAAGGATCACCCGGCTCCTTGTTCAACAGCAGCAAGTGCCGCTTGCCTGCGAATTGCTCAATGTAGCGCTCCAGGTCTTTACATCTGTAAAACTCTGGATCACGAGCGTCGAGGATCTGAACCAAGACATCACTGCGCTCCACACATCTCCAGAGCTGCCGCCAGAATTCCAAGTTTCGCTCGTAAGGCGTTAGAATCATTCCATCCTCCTCCTCCATCTTGGCCAGGCCACGCCTGATCACAGAGGTATGCACAGCCAAATCGATCCTATTCAATGCTCAAACCAATCCCAGCCTCCACGACAGAAAGGCTTGACCCTCCGCAGCAGCCAGCTCATCTCCATTGGCGGCCTCACATCGTCCGTATCACATCCTGACCTTTGACCACACTTCCCGGTGCCAAAGCATGGATTGTTTTTCTGTTTCCTTTGCGTACTGTGCTTCTCTGTTTGTTTGCTTTTGATTTTGCCTGTGCTTTTCGCAAGGAAAGAAGCAAGAAAGGCAATACAGAAGGGAAGGAAGAGGGGGGCAAAGTAGCACGCAAGGAAGCAAGAAAACAAAGATGCAAGAAAGTGGCGAAAGCGCCTAAACCGGAACAAACCTGCCACTTACTTCACCGGTAGTTTGCATGCTTTTGGGGGAGGGTGCCTGCCCCGGAATCATAACTTTAGCGGCTAGATGCGCTCCTTTGCATGTTAAGCCCCGCAGTGTAAGAGCATTGCAACATTGCAAACTGCCGTGCCTATGCACCATATCACACCATTACACACCACTGACAAATCAAAGGAGATGAAAGCTTCCCTGGCCAAAACATGGCAAAACGCGGCAGGATCCTACTCAGGGGTACATTTCAAGACCTCAGACCTGAGGGGAAAACACCAAACAAATTGAACTGTTATTGAACCAACAGAAAGGAAATTGTATAATGCAGTATAAGGGACGGGACGAAAACCAGCCCTCGTAGGCACTGACAACAACAACTGCAACACGAACCTCCAATTGGTGTTCGTCAGCATCACATGTCTTTACAGCAGGGCAAACATCCTTAAGGTCTTTTCCCGGAGATTTTGGTGCTACCTGTTTCCTCAAGATGGCCTTCAATGTATTCTCTCTACAGCTGCTTGAGGGGACCCGGCTAGATCCCTGAAGATAGCTTCCTTAGCTGGTGCCCCTTTTTCTTCACCAAAACTTCAACAAAACGATTTCAAAACAGCACCACCACACATGGCCTTTTTGTTTCGTCCGTTGGTGGCGGTGCGCTTCATCCCGTCACATAATGTCTTCTTCTCTGAGGTCTTTAAAGCAGTGATACACCTGCTTGCAAATAATTGTTGCACCTCTACTCTCAATGAAAGACTTCAAGGAAGCATCATGCAGCACTTGGCTTGCACAGGAAACGGGCCGGACTGCAGCATGCAGTCTACGTGGTTCTTCTATGCACCAAGCTTGCCACGGTCGACTGTCTTTACAGCAAGGCAAACATAGTCTTTCAACGTAATGATTTCTTTACAGCTGCTTGAATTGTGACAACAAATAACAAAGAGCACCACCACACATGGGCCGCAAACATAGTCTTCCAGCGTGTTTTCCAGCTAGATCCCAAAAGGTCGCGTTCCTTTGTCAGTGCCCCTTTTTCTTCCACCAACTGTGGGCAAAACGATCAAACGATCAAAAAAAGGCACCACCACACATGCCCTTCAAACAGGCCGCTGTCTATCGGCATGTTTTCTTTACAGCTGCTAGGGGGACCTATCTAGACCGCAGAAGGTAGCACTCCCTTGCTGGTGCCCTTTCTATTTCCCCAAGCTATGACAAAACGACGACAAAAGGTACCACGACACATGCCCTTCAAACAGGCCACCAACATAGTCTTTCAACATATTTTCTTTACAGCTGCTTGGGGGGGACCCAGTCTGCTGGCCGTTTTTCTTCCAAAGCCGTGACAAAACGATCAAAAAGGGCACGGCCACATTTCGGCCTCTCTCGGACCACGTAGACTCGACAGCGGAGGAGTACAGAAAACAGTCCTGTGCTGATACCACACATCGCCTTCATCGTTACGGTCTTTATAGCCACACACACACACAATTTAACAGGCTGCTGGCCACTTAGATAAATGGTACTCCGACAACTCTGTGATGCTTATGATGCACCACCAACCATTTCGGCATCACTCGCATTACCAAATCCCTTATGAACATGCATGTTGACTATATTTTGGCCACCCTAACACTCACCGGTGGCCATGCCGTTTGCTGGGCCTCCTTCCAGGAAGGCCTCCATGGAATGGGCACGACGACCTTCCTCGCCGCAATCTCCTTCTCTCGAGTCTCTGCAGGGTCCAGGCTGGATTTGTAAATGACTTCCTCGGTCTGACAGGACTTGCTTGTGTTTGGGTTCGGTTGCAGTTCCTTCCACCGGTTCGCAACGCTGTATCCGCAAAGTCTGGACAGGTTCTAGTTCAGTCCGTTCACATTTCCTGCATTCAAGCCTTGCTTCTTTGCAGCTTAGAGTCCGTTGTGCACTCAACGGTCACTCCACGGGTCGATTGAAAGTTGGCACGTGCAAGCCTCAGTCAGTGGAACATGGTGGAACATCGTGGAACTCGGGGATCCATGAGAAGGCTCTTCATTCGAATCTTTTGTAGGAAAAAAGAACTTTTGACCAGCAAGAGCTCCTCAAGAGCTCGTCAATAAAAGAAAAAAGACTCCAGACATGAAGTGTAAAACTTCTTCACATGGGGGTTGAAATATAATCAATTTCTACATTGTTTCTTATTCCCTTTGCAGCACATGGTTGATGCCACGGGGCTCGGCCTTGGCAATGAAATCGTCCAAAGAGCTCTGTTCTAAAACAGACTTCTTCGCCTGACTTTCAGCCACACCGCTGGCATTGTAGCCTGCTTGTTGCCCGTCCCGCTTCCTCCTGTCATTCACGAGGGAATTTCCCAAGCCACCGCCAGTCTTTTTTTCGTGTCATGGCTGGCACACTGTGAGCAGAAAGCTTCGGGCGCTCAAGGCAAACGAAACACTCGCTCTGGATGATGAAACAGGCGGGTTCAATCCCCAACAAAACTGGCACCTACAACTGGTCAAGCAAATGCTTCAGGAGCTTTTCAGTTGAGCATGGGACCTCATAGTCTCGAAGGCATTCCAATCGAAGCCCTTGTAGAAAGGGTGCCTGGGGTGCTTTCGTAAAAGCACACGAATGCAAGCAATGGACAGCAACTGTCCTTTTTCCATTCATTGCAAAAAGCGCTGTCCAGCGACGTCTTGAGATTTCGAGTTCCACCTTTCTTCATAGGCAATCGCTCGGATGGTTCTGACTTGCACAGGGATTTGATCAGGTCCTGAAGCCCATGAACATCCTTTCGAACCAGAAACTGGAAGCTGCAGGTATGGAGTCCTCTGCGGATCCCTTGCATTTTGGAGGGAAGGCCACCTGCACAACATCCGAGCGACCTAGCCGAACGAAAGGCGACAACCCTCTGACCTTGTTGATTCCTCGCATGATCTTCTGATATGTCCTCAGCCGAAATGAGGCAATCTGCCTTTCATGTGAAGCTTGCTCTCCCATCAGGTCATCCATGGTCGTCCCATGGTCCATCAGCTTCGTTCATCTGGGTTCCCCACTGCATCGGATATGATGACTCAAAAGGTGGATGGCCACCTTTCAAGAGCAGAAGGATTCAACATGTGCGGTTCCAGTCATCCGTTGGAGACCATCGCTAGTAGGTTGGAGGCCACCCGTTCTAGGATGGAGGCCATCGCTAGTAGGTTGGAGGCCATCACTATTTTTGGTTGTCCTTTTTTTAATCAGATCTCTTTGACCTGACCTCCCAACTCACAGCACCCCGGCCGCGCAAACAAGCCAGGAGCACTAAGGAGCTCAAAGGCAAAAATCCCCAGCGTCCACCAGTCAACGGCTATATTGTGACCTTTTCAACGGGACTGCCACAGAAAGGTGAGATGATGGCTGAATTAAAATCTCAAGTCGCAGCCGACAAAGGAACATCACAAGCCGAAAACCTTTCGAAATCAATCTCAGCCTGACTATGACTATGACATGCCCAAAAAAAAGAGAGTGCCTGTGGATGCGATCAGTTCTGGCGCGAAATAGTCAGGTGTGCCACAGGCAGTGAATGCTTTCCCGATGCAAACCTGCGCAAAAAAAAGGAAGTAACAAAAAAAGTGGCTGGATGGGCCGCAGTCCAAAGTTATAAGGTGATTCCCTGGGATTGCACTGCAATGGCCGCCACCTTTGCCAAACCCATGTCAGTCAACTTCACGTTGCCCTTCTCATCCAGCAGAAGGTTCTCCTCCGGCCCGGCAAACGGGTATATAATAATTTATCATTCTCACTTGAGTCACTCCTCTGAAGCGACAGTGCTGTCTCTGCACCGCCCTATATATATATATATGTATGATTAATTATGTATGTCCAACACCAAACGTGAACACGAGGATGGAAGGGGATGACGCATGTTGCACCTTAGCCCCGCAGTAGCTTTTTGGTTCCATCGGGGAGCAATCTGAAGTGTCCAAAGGAGAGCGAACTGGCGTTAGTGGCCTACTTGCCCAGAGTTGACTGCATGTTCTTCCCGTCTGGGGCTCGCGTTGGTGAAAGAGAGTAAGCACACAAGAAAAAGATATCAAATTGTGTTTCTAGCGGTTCCTGCGTCCACACCTTTTTTGGAGTTCTCCCTTCCAATCAGCCCAAGCTTTCTGTTCATGCGTGGGCCGACTTTGGACACACGATGCTCATCGGTTAGGGCACTGCATCCAAATGGCAGTTGTGGCCCTGCCAATCACTCAAATTGAACTGAATTCAGGACGTCTATCTAGGAATCCATTTTACCATGCCCGTGAGGCCAGCGTATTGAACCAGGCACCCGACTGGGGGCCACAGAAGAAACAAGAAAGATAAAGCAAATCAACATACTCAATCCTAAGGCCCTGAGATGTCCTAAGGTCCTCAGGTCTTGGTTGATTACCGAGCCACTTAGCCTTCAGGTGGCAACACCCGGAGCTCTAAAGGTCTCAACTTCAGCAGCGGCATCAACTCATCCCTGGCACGGCCCAGTGTAGGAGCTCCGTTGATCTCCAGGAGCACCTCAAAAAGGGTTCAAGAAAATTGCAAAGGGATGTACTCTGCCAGTTGGGCTCTGATTGAATCTTCGACCCAGGCTGCTAGGAGCGAGTCTGATTACAAAAAAATATGCCGGCCGGCAGCTTGGAGAAGTCCTTTGTGGTCCTACGACTCACTACAAAGAAGCTGAAAAACATTTCCTCCCAAGGCACGCTGCCCGAGCAAATGCCCAATTTCTCAGCCTCGCCACTGGGGTTTACGGTGCCCACCGAGGGCCGCTCGGTCTCCCATAAAACCTGGCGGAGAAACGGAGAAATGGCAATCGCCACTGGAGAAACGTCTCAGACTGTTCCTTATTCCGAAGAAGGCGATGGCCTCGCTACTAGTGTGGAGGCCATCGCTATTAGGCTGCCAGGCGACCGATCCCTGAAGCCGTCTATTACGCCCAACCACCACTACATGCTCAAAAGCAAAGCCATCGACAAGTTTCCTGCCAATTTCTTTGGGTTGCGAATATATTTCTGGAATGTTTTTCGTTTTTTTTTATCTTTTTTTTTCGTGTTTCGTGGCAGGTGCAGTACTTTGTGGACCTTGCAAAGCACATTTCGTGGCAGGTGCAGGACTTTGTGGGCCTTGGAGTGCAGAGTTTGAGGCAGGCGCAGGACTTTTTGTGGGCCTTGAAGTGCAGATTTCGTGGCAGGTGTAGTACTTTGTGGCCCTTGGAGTGCAGATTTTGTGGCAGGCGCAGGACTTTGTGGACCTTGAAGTGCAGATTTCGTGGCAGATGCAGGACTTTGTGCGTGTGGAAGTGTAGAGTCGAGTTGGTGGCAGGTGCAGGACTTTGTGGGCCTTGGAGTGCAGATTTCGTGGCAGGCGCAAGACTTTGTGGACCTTGAAGTGCAGATTCGTGGCAGGTGCAGTACTTTGTGGATGTTGAACTGCAGAAAGATAGAAAGATAGAAAGATAAGTTGATAGATAGATAGATAGAATAGATTGGATTAGATTAGATTAGATAAGATAAGATAAGATAAGATAGATAGATAGAGGAGGCATATTTGCTTGGTTAGAAAGTTTTGCACCGGGGAGTTCACCTTAAAATATTGATTTCGTGGCAGGCGCGGGTGTCGGGGATGAGGTGCAGATTTCGTGGCGCGGGGGGGTTGGGGCGCAGCGCCCCCCCCCCCAGCAGCACACCAGATCCAAAGGTGAGCAGCTCGTGCTTGCTTGCTTGCTTGTTTCGTCTCTGCAACGAAAACAACAGGAAAAGCAAATACAAAAAGAGAAAGGAGAACAGCTGCCAAAAGAAAGAAAGAAAGATAGATAAATAGATAGGTATAGACAGATACAGAAGCCACAGAAGCCAAAAGCCACAAAAGCCAGAAGCCACAGAAGCCAGAAGCCAGAAGCCACGAAAAACAAAAAAAAATCCAAAAAAGAAACAAAAAACAAAAAACAAAAATAAATACCCCTCCATTTCTTTGTGTTTCCGGTCCAGAAAACCAACCGCCCAAAGAAGGACAAGAAAACCAGACTGTTGGGCTGCACCTCTCCAACGCAGGTTTGATTTTGCTGGTATGCCATGATGCATCTTTGTGGGTCCTTGAAGGTCTTTTCTCCCAGCAGATAAGCAGCCATAATTCATGAACATTGTTGATTTTCATAGGTTGTTGGCGCATGCACTAGGAGAACAGAACAAACCTGTGGAATTGATAGGGAACTCGTGCCGGATCTAGCTAGAAGGCTAGGGCAAGCATGCAATTGCCTTTCAACTAGGTCCGGACGGTTTTTCTACTCTGTCCTAACTAGCTTCCTCTTTCCTGAATGGCTTTTTTCCCATGAAATGTCCCGTCAAAAAAGAAAACATGAGAAAACTAATGGATGCGCTGTGCTGATGTTCTCCTCCTCTTCTGAAATTGCTCTGCCTTTTCTTGCTTTTCTTCTGCCTCTCTTAGTGCGACGCATTACACCCACTACCCCTCCTTCACCTTCAAGCAGCCGCTCATCATTGATTTGCCTTCCTTTGGCTCTCAGTGGTCAATAGCCTTCATGTTCTTATCTTGGCTAGCAGTCCGAAATTCTCAGTGGTTGCGCCACTTTCTCAAGCAGCCTTCTCTCCCACTCTCCCTCTCTCGCTCTCTCCCTCCCTCTCTCTCTCCCTCTCTCTCTTTCTCGCTCTCTCTCTCTCTCTCTCTCTCGCTCTTTTTTAGCTTCTGAGTTGTTCAACAAAAGGTTTGTACGTGTATGTCAATATATGTGAATAGCAAGAAGGAGAATAGCCAGTTGAAGAATAAAAGCAATAGGAGAAGCAAGAGCTGAACAGGAGGCCCAAAGGCTACTGAAGCAGTAATCGAGAGAGGATTGATTGAAAAGAGTTTTTGGACAAAGGAACAGCTGAATAGGAAGGAGGCAAAGTGATTAAATGATTAACCAGCAATGGAACGATCTATGTAATCACAAACGGCTGAGGGACGAACCAAGAGAGCAAGTTAAGTCAACTGCCGGTCTTAACGAGAAAGAGAGAGAGAGAGAGGGAGCGATATGTATTTATATGTAATATACTGTATATATATATATACACTGTAGGTACAATATGCTTGTGTGGATGTCGCTGAGCCCAATGACAAGTGGAACAAAGCATTTTAGACACAATGGAGAAAGGGTGGAGGAGGAGCCACGCAAAGCTAGCACAAATCAATCAAGAAGGGACTGTTAGCGCTGTCCCTAACGTGTTCACCTGTATCTCCTCAACAAATCTGCATAAACGTGTCTGCACATCAATTGTGAAGGCAACAACTGCATTTGCCGATTTGCCATGCTAGCTTTGCATTGAAAAACATGTGAGGCCGAGACCTCCAAATTGCTATGAAAAGTGAAAAGTTGCGGTGCCTGTAAAAATGCCAGCCATCCAAAACTTTTGGCCTCCCAGCCGCCTCAAAACCCAGCTTGCGCACATGCTCGCCGAACTGCAGGGTCACGGAGGCAGGAAAGACCTCGGGAGACTGCACAGGCATCACCTTCTCCGTCTCATCAGCTGCTGAGACATTCTCAGACTCCGGGGCGGCACGCCCAGGCGCGGCAGGATCAGCGGGGACCGCAGGTGCGAGGTGGTGCGGAGAAGCTGCATAAATCTGAAGCTCTTGGCTTCCTTGGCTTGATTGCCTAGACAGCTTTCCAGAACTTCCTTTTGGTGTTTCCAAAGTCTTATCGACTTTCTCAGCTTTCTCTCCTCTCGCTTTACTCTCTTTTCGGTCCAACTCCAGCTCGATCCTGTTTGTGGTTAGATCTGTTGCTGCTAGTCGGTCCATTGCCCCTGCAGCTTGGTCTGCATCCGGAACTGGAACCGTCCTATGGGGTGGCAGATAAGACCGCACGGGCCGATGGTCGGGGCTCACATCTTTCCACTCTTTCCCCACGGCGATGTTTGCCAAGCGCTGCCCGGTCTCAATCCACATGACCCGGAACTCCTCGGAGAGCTTCTGCAAATGTCCCAGGCAACTTTGATCCACCTCTTTCAGAGCAGCTTTGAATCTTCCCACGCATTGCTCCTTCTTCCGTTTCACGGCGGCTTCTTGGTCGATCTTGGAAGCCAGGTCCTCCACCACAGCCGTTTGCATGGCTGCAAGCTCTTCCAAGCGAGCACTCTGAGACGATCGGAACCAACTCCTCTTGCCTTCAGCACTTGCAACTGCTTGAAGTTCTGCACTGGCCTTCTCTTTCCGACGAGCCACCTCCCGAACTGCTTGTGCACATACGGATTCTTGTTGCTCAAGTTCCTTGATTTGAATCCGTTCATCCATGCAAGCTTCCTTCAAGTTGTTCTGTACGGCCTCCATGGGAGAGATCAGATCCGTTCGAATTCGCGCAGACAGCTCTGAGAAGAGTTCTCCAAAGCTCCCAAAGGAGTCGATCATGCCTTTGCTCGCAGCCGCCATGGGAGGATCGTTGTCCTGCAACTGCCGCAAGAAGACTGCATCTGCCCCAATGCTCCGAGTGCTACGGTGAAAGCCATCTGCCAACTGCTGGAGACTCTTTGCAGCCACTGTGCTCGCATGGATCAAGGGCGCCAAGCTGGCAAGCCGCGCCAAAAGCTGCCGATCCGTGTTTTCGGAGTCCAACTCAGAGTGGCTTGGAGGCTTGGCTTTGGGTTTGGGCTTGGCCGTACGGATCTTGTAGATGAGATCCTCCGGTAGCCCTGCCAGTGCCATTGAGCCCGGCGACCTAGCCCTGCAAGGTTCTACCAATAGAGCTGGTTCCTGCTCGAGCGCAGCGCGGCGGCACGGGTACATCAACAAGAACGTGGAAGCCTTGGCAAGCGAAGGGATAAGAAAACGATTGTGCAGTGTGCCCCCCTGGAAAGCCACAAGTCCCAAGATATCGCAAGGCCGCTCCGGCTTCAGGTCACGGTACAGGATCTTTTTGCCTTCACATGCGGGCTCATTGGAAACACCATCTTTACAGCTTTTGTTATGTCTTGTTTCCATCCATGCCACTTGCACCATCATCTCTGAGGCAACCAGCCATGCAAGTGCTCAAAGGCCATGACAACACCAGCCGTGTAGAAGCGGGCAAAGTTCTCCTGCAGGTGAATCCGAGGAACCAAGGAGACAAGAGCAAGTCCTGGCTTTTGGAGAAAGTCCGCTCAGCTTCCATCTTTAGATGCAGCATGACACGTCCAGCAATTGAAACAGTGGCGTGCCGAAAGAACTTCAAGGTCAAAGTTCTTCTGCATTCTTTTCCGGCTTCTTTGTGAGACGATTCTGAAATCTGGGCTCTGTACTCATGGGTCTTATTGCCCACATGGCCGAAAGACACCAAGACATCTTTGGGCATGTCTTTCGCACCGGAGAATCCGAACCCGGAGATTTCCTGCTGAGATCCACTTAGTCGCGAAGTTCGTGAAATTTCTTCACTTAGACTTAGTCATCCTCTTCGTCGCCCTCTGCGAAGGAACCCAGGCCGTTCTTCTCTTTCTTTTTGCCTGGGTTCTTTGCTTGCAGCCTCAGACTCGTGCTGTTTGGTTCCAGTGCTGCGGTTGGCTCTTCCGCCCATAAGGGTGGATTGCCCACATCACCCTGTAAGGTCTTGTGTTAAGAGAGGTCCAAAAGGTATAATTCTGTTGTGGGAACCCTCCTTCCTCACCCTTCAGGGACCTGTCACAGGACCTTCTGGCCACACTCTTGCAACCTCGGAGCTTTCCAGTCCCTAGGGCCATTTGACCCTCAGAGACATTTTTGTCTTTCTTCGCCTCAGAATGGCAACCGTCATGACATGACTGTCCTACCGCACATGCCTGGAGGCAGGATAGGCAGACTCTGAGAAACTGGCTGACAACATTGAAGACGTCCTTGCAGCACAACGTCAGGGCTACAGGTGAACCCGCCCTACAACCAACGTTCAAAGCACGGAGCGTTCCATTTACAGCTTTGTATGCCAAGGGTCAGCTTCGGTCCAACAAAGGAAGCGAATAGCTGCATAATATCAACGTCATCTTCATCGAAATGCTCCGGTTGGCCATCATACGAGACCTGAGCAAGAACAGCAAGGCCAAGCTTCTGGTGGGCAACACTGTGCCCTAAAACAACAAAACGCTGGCAATGATGCTGCAAGCTGGATTTGGAAGCTCCCCAAACAAGCCTTGTTGATCATCTGTATGACTCCAACAACGTGGGCATTGTCTTCGGACATGATAGGGATGGCCAGTATACTCCGCGTGCGGTAGCCTACCCGGACCCAAAATCAATCACCGAAGAATCTAAGAATAGCCACCGTCTGCTTATAGAACTGGACTAGGTTACCATTGTCATTGTGCTCTGTGTTTTCTCAATGCACATGGTCTGTGCTGTCGCGATGGCTGCACGAAAGTTTCCGTGCACCTCTCCAGGCATTTCACGAAGCATCTGGACAATACATCAGCCGGTCGTGCTCAAGCCTTGCCCTACACAGGCTGATGCTGCTTCAGTGAGGCGACTGGGGTGAAAATTGGAAAATGGACATTGACTATGGGGCCCGATGGCCAATCTTCCCCAAAGCGCAGACCTGCTCTTCAGACCTTGACCTGCTCATTGGTCGTGAGATTGCACGATTCAGAGCACGGGCCAAGTCTTCGCAGAGTCTCAACTCTCTTGGGTTCTCAAGGCCTGCACGTACTCAAACACTGGCGAAGTCACCTCAAGGCAGTCACAAGAAGCATTTCTCCAAAGAACATGGGAGGCCGAGAGTTTGCGAACCTATCGAAAATCGTACAAATCAAATATATAACTAACGACGAAAGCAACAGCGGCTCAAAAAGTTTTTGTTGGGCTCACATGAGCTCAGTGCATTGGTAGCAAATTCCCGCCTGCTCTCGGCCACGGTTCTGGTCAGGGTGCAACTTCACGAGAAGCTTGCGCAGCACACGGCCACGCTTCCTGAGGTCTGCTTCTCCTTCCTGAGCCCGCAGTTTACAACAACTGCCTCCTGGTCATATGAACAGGAACTGAGGACACAACATAGGGCCACATGGAACTGAGAGCGCTACTGTATGCATCAAGCTCCCTGCAGCCAAGTCACCAGCTCCTTCTCAACTGAAACCAGCAAATCCACTGCATCCTGGCCCACGGCACGAGCATCTTGCCAAGCTCTGTCTCGGCAGCCGTCAGGATTAAGGGATTGGTCTTGCATGGCTTTCCAGTCCTCAAACCTGGCGCAAGAACGCGCGAGAACGAATCACCCTAGCCTAATCCGGATACACTTTGCGGAATCATCATGAAAGCGGAAAACCACCTGTTCGTAGTAGAGGACAATGGTCTTCCAAGGATCCATTTTCCACTTCCATGATGATTCCAGCTGGTGTAAAATTGGCCAGGACCACATGTTGAAAACTAAACGATGCGTATCTACACTGCGCTCTCGGCCGCGCTCGGCCGCGCCTCTGTCTGGATCCACCAAAGAAGCGCTCCTCTAGAGTCCCTGGCGCTTCACCCCATCGCAAGGTGTCGCTGCGTGGGTCTGGCGGCAAGTAGAAGCGGCCTGGGGTGAGCCACAAAGGAGAAAAGGAGAAGAGAAGGTGCCTCTTCTGGTTACACCATTGGCAACACTGAAACTACTCCAAGAATCACCCCTGCAAGGGTCATGTGCGCAAGAATGTCAAGCATCATTGTCACTGTGATGACTGTCACTATTCTGATTACGCCATGGCATTCCACAAGCAATGTCGGAGGGTAAATCTAGCTGAATCTAGGCATGTGGCTACATGTGAAAATTACAGTACTGTATGCAGGAATGATGAATATGAAACAATCACGCCGTGGAGGATGATCTGCGATATCATATCCCGTGCTCGATGACCTTAACAAATCTCCGATGAACAGTAAGGAATTGGCCTGGAAGGAACAAATCTTGAGCTCTGCGTAATTTGCCCAGAACTGTGTCGAAGTAAAGCCTGGTCTCCGCGATGTAATCCTCATCCGCGAATCGGATGCTCGAGAATAGATCCCGCTCCACACCTTCAAGAGCCGTGGCCAGGCTTCCTAAGGAATTGCGAGCGGCGGACCACTCGCACTCTGGCACAGGCTCGTAGTAGCCAAAGAGATCTACAAGACCTCTCCAGCTGCTGGAAGGTAGATATGATTCGCAGGAGGCAGCTGCTCCTTCTAATTCTCCCTCGACATCTTCCCACATGCCGTCACACATCAGCTCGGCCTAGGACCAAAACAGCCTTCTTCAAGCTCTGCATCAAACCAAAGCAACCCAGTTCGGCACACTTAAGTCCATCCTGGCAAGCGCTAGCCACCACACCTCTAAAGTGAAACAAAACGAAAACATGCACCACAGGAAGCCCGTTCCACTCTAAGAAGCTGACAGTTTCGAGGGCTTGCGCTAGTTGTAGGCTTAACTTTAATATACAGAAATGTTGTGTTTCCGCACGCGGCAGGGCTACTCGCACCACCCTAGCCCTGCACCAAATCCAATCTTTATAGCAGAACCAACTGAAGCAAGACAGGCAACTGCGTTGCGCAGGGAAATCGCAGCACTGCTCAGCGCAACAGCGCTGCCGGACCGCACCTTGCCGTTGAATGCCCCACGTGGAAACATGGAAACCATTGGGAGATGTTATCGTTCAGCTTCCGGTGCATCTACAGTATCACATCCTTCCACAATGGCCCAGTCCCTTTTCACTGTTCACTCTTCTCATTCCCTGACCTTGGAGCTCACTGTCAGCAGCGCATCTCCGGCAACCCAGAGCTCGCGGCCCAAGGCCTGAGCCCAAAAGGTGAAGTTGTACAAAGCGAGACCGTACAAACGAGCATCTGTTACATCAACTTCAGTGAGATTCGGGGTGTGACACTCAGGACAACCCACCCATCACCCGACTTTGCCTGCAAAAGTTCGCCGGCTTCAGGCTTTCCACTTGGCGGAGCGGCCTTTGCACGACTTCCAACTCATTCGGGGTAGGAAGCTAAGCAGCTGAGAAGTAAGTAAGCTATATATGTCATTAGAGAAGAATCTATACAGTTGCGACGCGAAAGAGTCGAGTCTAAACAACGATGGCCTCCAACCTACTCCTACTAGCAATGGCCTCCAACCTAGTAGCAATGCCCAACTTAGTAGCAAAAGGAACCTAATAGCGATGGCCTCCAACCTACTAGCAATGGCCTCCAACCTAGTAGCAATGCCTCCAACCTAGTAGCAAAAGGAACCTAATAGCGATGGCCTCCTACCTACTAGCAATGGCCTCCACCCTACCTCTTGTCGTAAGAGAAGCTGACAGCTGTGACGCAACAATAGAGTCACAGTGCATTGGACCCTTCTCCAACGCAGTTGCCGGAAGCTGGGAGAGGCTCCGTGAATCGCATGATCGAAACGGCCGCTCATTGGTTGCTGGGCGTCGCGCGCATATTCACCGGCCAAGTTGCGAAAGTGCTCTGCAGTCCATGTTGGTAGATGGTACAAGCAAAAAAAGCCCAAGAAAATGGCAATCGCAGGCCGCCCGCGAACCATGGTGAACACGCAAAAACTACCACTGTTTCGTCTATGATTGTCTATGTCTATGTCTCTGCCTTCAACTTCCTCGATGTGTCTCACACACAACACTGGGCTCGACTGGATGGTTCCTTCTAACTCAGCGGGTGAATGTGATGCATATAAAATGTGTTGTGCAGCTTTAAAGATGATGCGTTCCATGCACCCCAAGAAGAGTCTTTTGCTGTGAGCAGTGAGGCTCTAGGGCTCTCATCGTAGGCAAGGTCTCATATCTGTGCAGGAGAAGGTAGCCAGAACAACCGACACATCATCGGGGACATGATGAGCAAAACATGCTTGTAAGGCCTGTCTGTACATCGACGTGCTTGTTAAAGCGCGGATCAGCATATGCATCCTCAGTGCGGCCGGAACCTTGAGGGCTGGGGGTGCTCCAATAGATTCAATCGACCGTCCTTCAATTATTGGGCCAAATCAGAAATTCTATCCATGGTGTATACCTTAGTTTCCCTCCTCAGCAATTGAACTACTGACTGGGTGGAGATGAGTATCTGGAATGTTGATGACCCTGCACTGGCAGCAGCACTCTCCTGCAATGCCTGCCAGGTGAGCAAGTCAATCTGGAGGCAAGCACACAGTACATGGTGCCTCCTGAATCCTAATTATGCGTCCATGGTCCATTATGAATCCCGATTATGGTTATGACACCTTGCCACACTGACATCTCAGACTCAGCAGTTGAAGTCATGCCGCCCTGCCTTTGTCTTTGGGAATTCGGATCTCTGCACCCGTGTCTGTGGACACTGACCAGAGCTGCTGCGCCGCATCATCCACGAGGAACACAGTAGACCTGCACATCTCTTTAGGACTTACAGCTTTGTCGATCATTCTGTCTCTCACTTCCCACTCTGACCGGCTTGATTTATCCGTGATACGTGAGGGTCTCTGTGAGCGTCAGGGACGCTCGAGCGCTTCGCGGGCACTGCCCATCCCGATCGGGCCCTATCCGCTGGCCCGCTGGCCTCTCTGCACTGCAAACTTTGCTCCTCAAAGACAAACGAAAGCAGGGTCTGGACCAAAGTGACTTCGAAGCTGTCCGGGCAGCTAAAACCTACCGCTCCCCCCTTCCCTACGTAACAATTTTAAAGTAGGCGCCTACTTAATCAAGTAAGGAGATAAGCTACTAGGCTAAGTAAGCTTCTAGGTAGGACGCGGGGTAGCTCACACTTGCACTAATCATTTGGCTCCTAGATTCGCAGGGAAACTTGCATAACTTTCAACAGGAAAGGAATGACCCAAAGGGGATCTCGACGCAGTTGCTGCCCAAGTGTCGCATGAGTAGTGACTGTCAGAAGAAGAGATTGTGGCCCCAAGTCCTAGCACGCACAGCACGCACAGCATATCCCAACAAGTCGAAAATGGTTTGGCCATGTTTGGGCTATATCAGTCTACTTGAGACTTTGAAGACTTTGAATGGGCCACTTGTCGGGTTTGTGTTCAGGGTGCCAGCCTGGGATACACTCTGGATGGTGTTTAGGAGCCCGGTGGCACGCTCGCTGCAATTGATGGCCTCAACCCAAGCACGCAAACGCAAACAAAATGGCTTTTGCACTATGTGACTATGTGGCTATATTCATAAATTGCGCCATGAGCCTAGACTGAAGAAATCTCGTGAACGCCTCGCGATAGACTTCAGCATTCTGAATTGCAATTGCCACGTTCTGGACTAAATGCAGCAGCATCTTCCTCAGTGGTTCTTGATTGGTACAACCTCCGTTGCTCCTTGTTCCGTGGCTCTCATCTCATCTCTCGTATCTCTAGCTCGTCTGCGTCAGAAAGAATTTGCAGCATAGTGTCTGATCTGTTGCTGGGAAGGCTATGGCATACTTTCCACTTGGCACCTCTTTGTCAATCTTTACATTCTTGGGCATCTTGTTGATGGCCTTCGCAAGCGCAGCGCACGTTGCGTGCGCCAACTCTACTACCCTTGCAATGCGCCACAAGCTACTGATCAAGATGCACCTGGATCACGCCACAGCTTTGGCCTTCAATGTCCAAGATAGGGACCTGATTCCAAGTGGCTCCCACTTTCCACTCCCTGCTGTTGCCTCTTGGGTGGATCATCAAACCTGAGGCTCAGTACCACTATCATACTCCGAGTGAAGTATCCCGTCTCCATGTCCAAGGTCCGGTCAAAGCGGCTGTCCTGACGAAATGGGAGACAAGCACAATCAACCAGTCACCAAGGTCCCTTTGGCCCAACCAAAGACAGCACAAATGTGCCTGCTGACAGTTGGCGATGTTCACCAACTCCTGCGTTTGAAAGACGCTTCCAGCAATGCCCTGATCCAGCCTCAGGAGGTTGTTTGCTGAAAAAGGAGTTAGGGGTAGTGACCATCCAAGAGCTAAAGTGAAGATTCTTGGTTCTACAAATGCTTGGACCATTCCCCGACCTGCCTCATCATCAGTGGCGCTTCGCTGTTTCTGTTGGTGTACAGTCTCAGCATCTGCATCTTTCGGTCCAAGACCTCAGCAGCTGAGACAAAGTGGCCAAGAGCTCTTCCATCTTCACTGGACAGCCCGAGGCTCCAGGCATAAAGTGAAACTGCATCGCAATTCAGCAAGCCCATCGTTTCTTTGATCGTGACGCCTTCGAACAAAAGTGTCTTCACACACGCAGTCAAGGAGAAAAGAAACACAACCAGGTTTTGAATCAACTGAATCTACAAATGGTGGTTTGGTGGTTGATCTCTTGCTGCTGGGGCGCCGATGGTCTCCTGTGGGTTAATCTTCCCGGTGATGCGCCGAGAGACCAGGAAAAGCCCCTGTAAATCGGTCTCGGTGAGTTCACCATCTTGAGCCTCCACGTCCTAGGAAGTGGCCCAAGCGTTACATGATATCATAATTATCGAATATGTTCAATGATGTTGCACAACTCTACATTCTTCAAGACTTTTAGACCTGTAGCTGTGACTGGTCCTTCTCCAAATAGTTTAGAAGGAACTTGCGTGGATTATGGGGCTTGGCAACCAGCACTGCCTTGATCATCTCCTGAGTCAACTCAGCAATGAACCGACAAACAACATGCAGGCTTAGACAGGTGGCCTGCACCACTTGTTCCACATTGTGCTTTTGGACGAAGCGCTCCACTGCCTGCCTGGACGCACCACATGGCATCGAAATCAAATAATCAAGAGCCAGGAGAATTTAGACTTTGGAAACGCAAAACAGTGAGAAGCAGCCTCTCAGCTGCTTCTTTGGCAGCAGCCATGGCATGGATCTTCAACCACTTTCCCAGCGATTGCTATATTGCGCTGACTTTTGGGGTGCGATGATCTTGTATCGAAGCTGGTCGTGGGTTGTCGAGCGGGTGGTGAACTTGGCTGTCTGTCTGTACTGCGAACTGCCAACGGATCCAACCACGGAGGCTAAAAGCTGATGCGATGTCTCTGCTCGCCAGTGGCAATTGTGAGACAGCTCGACGACTACAGTACGTCAGTACGTCTGAACGACGTGCGAGTATATAAATATGCATATAATTATATCTCTCTACATAGTTCTGATGTCCTTGCCAAAGAAGCCTTTCTTGTTGTACCTCAGTTCAGCTATTGATGCAGAGTCCTTTTCCCACCTCATCTACCATTGACAGTCCTGGCCGTCACACTCGAAGGACTGTGCAAGCACCCCCCAGGCCACCGGGCGTAGCATAGAGCTCCCCACCCAGCGCCGCTTCCAAGAGGAAGTAGAGAGCTGTGCAGTTAGTGCAGTTTCATCAAAATCACAAGCAAACCATATGCTTCTTGTTCCTAGTAGCGAACATTGCTCCTACTAGTACGGCCAGGAGCCCCTAGTAGCGTCCTTGCTCCTAGTAGCGATGCCAGGAGCCCCTAGTAGCTTCTTGTTCCTAGTGGCAAACCATTTACAGTAATTTCATGAGACCAAAGGTTTGGGACTGAATGGACTCCTGGACTGTTGCTTCACAGCTGACTCTCTCCGTTCTTCTCCCCCCCTTCTCTCCCTTTGTCGGGATGTACATCTTGCAACCCATGTCCAACACAGGCTGGACAGAAAACAAAACCGCGCATTTTACGTTACATTCAGCGACTATCTATCGGGATATGACCAGGACCAGGAGGTGGAGATCCGCCACTGAGGGGCGAGCTTTGATCACTGTTGTACGTCCTTAGGCAAGTTGCCGCATAAGCCCGAGAATTGAAAACACTGTATAAGTCACTGTATAAGTACTCAGGTCTTGGTTCCTGCCACACTGCTGCCAAAATTCTCATACAGGCGGATGATGAAGAGAGAGTTGCACATCATTTGCACTGCCTTCTCCTCAAGTGCTGACTGAAAAGTTATCTCCACATGCAGCGCAAAGTTGTCGTCTTGCGATTATACAATATCCATATATACAGTACAAATGTGCGTGTGTGCGTGCGTTCAGCAACTGAAGGAACTCGGCACCCAGCTGTCAGCACACTCTGCTTCATGCCACATTGAACAATGAAACCTTTGCTCATCGCCTACGAATGGCCGCAACTTCGGTGCAAAATGGACCGTGCAAGTTCAAAGCGTTGCAACTCGGCCTTCAAAGCATACGTCTCACCGGTGAGCTGGTACTCCACAAGCCTCAGCGTCCAAAAGCCCACTCGCAAAGTGATACCTGGTACCTGACCAGTAGGAACAAGGACGCTACTAGGGGCTCCTGGCATCGCTACTAGGAGCAAGGACGCTACTAGGGGCTCCTGGCCTTACTACTGGAACAAGTTGACAAGAAACTACTAGGGGCTCCTGGTCAGTGGTGCGAAGCAGGTTTTTCAGTTTCGTCACCCCAAAGCTAGTTGTAGCAAGCTACTCCACGGAGCCAAAGCCACCGCAGCCCAGCATGCCAACTGGTTTCAAATCTTTCCTGCAATAAGGCAATAACTATATATAACGCACATCTGGCTGGCATGAACAAGTAGCATGGAGCTGAACATCAACATAAAGAAGTATACAGTATGAGTCATTATGAGCATGAGTGGGGGAAGTCAGTTTTCTGCAATTGTTTGCATTTTGTGAACTGGGCTTTGCCAGCTAACAAGGAAGCGAGGCATTCAAACACTGAATCCAGTCCGGCCAGCTGACACCACCGTTTGTGAATTAAAGGGCCATTTTGCTGGCTCATGGCATGCTTGCACTGCAGATTTCTGCTAGAGCAAGCCTGTAGTCAAACAGTGAGCATCATGTCTGGCCGCTGGCCATGCAGCTCAAAAAGCCTCCTTCACCTTAGGCAGCAACACTCTGCCTCTACCTGCGGATCAGATCAGCTTCAACAAACTCCAAGCATAGCAACATCGGCCGTGGAGAATGGGGGCCGTGTTGATCCAGTGCTAGGAGTCCATCGACATCACGGGCCTGGAGGAACAAAGGTCAGAAGCATAGTAAAGCGAATGAACGCTTCTTTTCTAAATCTAGGAGACGGTAGCCGTAGCCCTCTTCAGCTCAAAAACATCACCGTGTACCACAGGCCGGCCTTCCATGACCAGGAGGCATATCCTGGGTCTCCGCCTGGAAGCAAGTGTGCAGCGATTTTGGGCATTGCGCTGCACATCTGCAGGTCATAGTCCAACATAGTCCAACTCGTTTTTTTGCTACCATGGCACCTTCAGCGACGCGTAAAGCTCCCGCAGCTCCGCATCCTTCATGAAGAGGATGCTTTCAAGCTCCTGTAGCTCAGGATGAGTTACTCTGGGACGCAAAGCAGCCTGAATCAGCTGTGGCTCCTGGATGCGTTTCTGCAACTTGGTTGTGTGCTCAGACCTGTGCAAGAACTCAAAAATTGCGATCCTCTTGATTCTTGATTATATAAGTGTGTTCCACAAACACCTGAAGGTGCTGCATGTTGAGGGGAACCTTTCAACCATAAGTTGACGTGCCTGCATTGTCTCAAATCAGTCTGCACACCAGCCTCAGGACACAAGAAAGTGGCAGAAACATCGAAGGTTTGATGAGGCAACCTCTGAGGCAACGGCGAGCTCTGGAGAAGAACTGATATCCGTTCGGCGGTAAACGTCAAGCGCCTGCACCGACCAGTAGGTATCGTAGAACTCCTCGTACTCATCTCGCACAAAGGCAACACAGTCTTTGTACTTGCGCTGCTTCTTTCCACGCTTCTTCTTGCCACAATGCTGCTTGAACGTTGCTGGCCTCAGTCACACATCTGTCCCCCGAGACAGTCCACTTTTCACGTGCTCTTAACACCCAACGCACCTAACGTTCGTGAGCAACACTTGCAGCATGCCATGCCAAATTCAAGCCAGGAAGCCCTGCAAGGTCACCGCAAAATGTGATATCGAAAACCAGCTTCATGTTCTTGAAGTGAAGTGGGTGGCAATTGTCGCTCAAGGCAAAGTAGAAATCGGGCTGGCCCCACAACATTGGGTTAGGCATCTTGCTTTTCACATCTGCGGGCTCCTGGCCCGAGTGCCATACCCAAACCCGCATGTGGCCTGCAACTGGGTCCCACTCAGCAGCGTAGGTACCACCACCCGCCGCATTGAACGATGGACCCACAGATCCATGCAGACCTCGCTGGGAACAGCCCTGATTCGTCCACTGGCCATCTGCATGCACATAACAGTCGTGGGCATTGTTGGTGTTCCATTTCCCTTTATTCCACTTTCCCTTCATGTGCCATCCTGGATAGAGATGCTCTTGTGTACAATTTTCCTTTGTGTGCAATGTTGTAGAAACTTCTTCCTCTTCATGAATCCACTCCATGATGTCAAACTCGCCCCACTCTGGCCAAACGTGGTCCGCATCCTCGCCAAACATCCAGAACGCGGGCCAGCTACCGCAACCTGCACAGGCGATTCATGGTAGGGGAGTTGGCGAAGCCATTTTCTATTGCATGCGGTCCACGCAAACGCCACTACCACAACAGCTGCTACGTGCTTAAGGCCTCTATACTCTATACCAAGACGACTTGAAAAATACCACCCCGACACCTAAAACAATGGATGTTGCCTTGTCAAGGAGTCAAGGGTTTCAACCCCCGTCTCCGCCTGTCGGTGCATGCTCCAATGAGATGATGAACAGGCCATCGTTGTAGCGAGCAGTTGATTCCAAGCGCACTGACATCCGCCCACGGGCCCCAGGTGCCACCACACTGCGATTGTCAACGCCGATGAAAATGCCTTAGGCAGTGCTGGTTATACTACAACCTCGTTCAGTCTCTGTTAGGCGATGTGGCAACAGCATCAGGGTGCCCACAAGGTCGGAATATGCAATGTAGCACCCTCCTGCTTCATGTACAACTCTTGGATTCAAGTGACATGATTTTGTCTGGCTTCAGTCTGCATACCTGGCCCTGGGTTGGGTTCTGCCTCACCGGGCTCTGCATTTGATTTTGCACAACGACCGGAAACTAGATCTCAGCAGCCGAAGTCACACTGCCGAGCTGACGCATGATATTCGCGCCTTTCGGCTACAGTAAGTGCCTTCGGAAAACTCTGAGCCATATGTATATAATTGTATATATATTTATATATAGTGTTCAACTGCCCTTGAGACCTGGAGTACACTGCTATCTATCAAAAACAACATTCGACCCTAACTCACTGATCCTGCCAAAGTACCATTGGCATCTGTCCTGATCAAGTTCTCTGCTTTTGCTTTTTCTGCTGTCACGTAGTCAACAAAACCATGTGTTGGATCATTCGCGGAGATAAAGTCCCACTTCTCGAAGAAGTCTCCTTGCATGTAGTCCTGCACGGCTACTGGCGGCTATTGTTGATTCATATTCCTTGTGTACGGCGATCATGCACTACCTTCACCAACCAATGATTCTGCAAGCCCAAGACGGTGATTGGAGTCATTTCTTTTGGCCTGGCCTCATGGTGGCTGTAGTCAGCCCCGACAAGGCCCAGCAGCAACAACGCAAGAGGACCCATTGAGGCGACAGCTTGAGACCGGAAAGCTTCGGATTCTTCAGAGAATAAGAGATACTAGAGTGTATAATTAGCTGCTCATCCCCTCATCTTGCCTTTACGATCTTTTTTGGTTCTTTTCAATGGCCAATTCTTGAGGATGCCCAACTCACCCCATGTTGTGCATCTAAGCCAAGTCCTCTCTATGGGCCCGATGCTTTCTGTCTCGCGATCCCCTGCGCAGCAAGGGCTTGGCGAGCTTTGTCCATCAGACGTGAGGAGAAAAAGGCGAAAGAAGCAAGCAAACGATTGTTGACCAAGCAAAGCAGTGTTGCTTGCTATGAACTGCTTCCTTCAAGCATCTTGGCAAACGGAGGCTTCATGGCCCATGGTTACAACAAACATGCCGCTCAGCCTCCAAGGGTCCCCAGGTGTGAGGCACTTCGCAGCATGGAGGCTTTCCGCAGCAAGCTGGCCTGGGCGAGTCACCAAGCACGCTGGAGCCACCACTGAGGGCTGCTCAGGGTCACTAACGGGTTCATAGGGCCTGGGGCTCCGGTCCGATGGATTCATGACCGCTACAGGACGGTTGCTGCCCAACTTCTGCAGCTCCTATGCGAGGGAAAAGCTGCAAACCGTGTCAATCCTTGTCTCGGAAAGCACTGGACAACCTCTTGGCAACCTGCTACTAGATCGGTGGAATTCGGATGGTGCCGGTAAACACGCAGCAGCTGCACCTCCAGCGACCCCAGTAGCCATTCAAATGTCCTGGCTGCAGGAAATGGAATGTTGCGGCTCAGGCGGCGAAATCAACAAGTCTACAGTTGTGTCACAAACCTTCCGGTGGACTGCACAATTCTGCCGATTGACAGCTCAGGTCCAGACTCTCGATCAAGGCGCAAGGTCTTGGCCAGCGTGGACGTTACCTGCAAAGGAAGGAAATGAAAAGCAAGGTACAACAAACAGCCCTGAGGGCCATCGCTACTAGGTTGGAGGCCATTACTATAAGAAACAATGAAAAAAAGAAAAGAAGAAAGGTTTCTTATAATAACAATGTTCGCTACTAGGGGCTCCTGGCATCGCTACTAGGAGCAATGTTCGCTACTAAGGGCTCCTGGCAAACCCAAAGTATTCGCTCAGCCTTCACCCAACAACACGTGTCGACGCCAGCCTTGATGGTGGCGGCGCGCGGCTCGTTGTTCAAAAGCGCCCGCTCCCCGAAATGAGACGCCGTGTCTGTATTTGCCTCACGGCCCACATCTCCAGTGGCCTTTAAAGGGCTCATTAAAGGAGCCCGTGCACTTCTCTTCTCTTTGTTTGCTTCTTGCATTGTATTTATATTCTGTTGTGCCCCCGTTTTTCTTCTCTCCTACTCTGAGAAAACCACAGTGAGTCGGGTCTCCTCCTTGCCATCCTTGATGACCGACACCTGAAGGTTTCTCTTGTGGCCAGATTGCACGCCGTCGTCTATGCCGTCCGCGAAAGCACTCAAAGCAAGCAGCTTGTCGCAAGCCCTTGATCGGCCTGCCCCTCCACGAGAATGTAAAAGGAGTCCCCTGCTTCACCTGCCAAAACTATCTCAAGGGAACGTCCACACTCTAGCGAAAGCGAGTCACAGCGTGAATCACGCCAAGCGCCTTGTTCAAATATCAGTTCACCCTCTGTGAAGGACATCTCCTGGCTTTGACTGGCGCTTAAAGCACAAATGGAGGCCCCCCCATTCCATCAGGCGATTGCAGAACACTGAGGCACTGGCGGTCAAGGACTTGGCCAACGCCTCACTGAGACAGGTAAAGGCTCAAAGCGGGAGAAGGGGTATCAAAGGCACCGTCCGACCCCAAGCACCACTATCGTCAGAATTCGCTTTATGGCAGCCGCGCCGAGCCTCTTTTTCCTCAGGCTTTAAGCTTTGGTTCAATAATTGGACCTGCTGCGTCAGAACGAAACTTCAACAGAGCTTTAGAGGGAATGCGGAATGCCACCTTTGACATGCCAATCCAAATTGTGGAAGGATTTTCGATGCCTTGGCGCTACTACTCGCTCACACAGCAAGCCTTGTCCAAATAGGCCACATACTCCTGTTCAAACTTTCATCCAACACCCAACAAACACTTGCGGGGACTATGTAGCTCATGTAACATTGTGCTCTTGATTTCCAAAAATCTCAAAACAATTTGCCTTGCATTTGTCGTCCTTATCTGCCAGAATCTTTTTGAAGTCAGACCTTCGCATCACTCCACCATCAAATGTATAGCATCAGTGGCAGCCAGCGAAAGAAATTGCGCTGCTTTGCGCAGCGATTCTTCCGCTACATGTCCCTCGAGGTCACTCGTGAGCACCCCACCTGTCCATCACCCACAGCTCAGAGTCCGACACTGCCTGGTAGAGTGTATCATGTGTCAAGCCTTTATGCACACTTCATAGCCTTTAGAACACATCTTCACTTATGAATCCGCACCCTCACAGTGGCAGCTCGCGGAGCTGTGTAAATGAGTGCTAGCCTAGGACACAAGTCAGCGAAAGCATTTCAAGAGTTTGTGACTGTCAGATCGTCATCCAAGGCATGAGCTCTCCGAAACTATTGCCAGCTTTCAGGTGACCCACACCTTGCCGGCAGCCGGCAGTTGACCCAATGTTCAATGTGCACCAATAACACCAATTAGCGTAATTAGCCAGTTCCCTTGCGTTTGAGAACGAACACGTTGCCGTCAGGTCCGACACAAGGTGCACACAAATGATGTGGTGACTGATTGTCAGTCATATTTGTGTGTGTGGGCGGAACTGAGGTAAAAGCGCTCTTCTTTGCCTGTCTCAGAGCTTGTCCTAAGTTCTAGGACTAGGATGGCAAATATATCATTCAACAATATATAGCTGCCTCCAAATGAACCTGCTGAAACTCAACTTTCAACAGCACCAAGGCCCAGTCTGCAAAACATCAAACTTTCCAGACCTGGGTTGCAATGTGAAAAAAAAATGCTCAAAGTGTGGCCAACCGGGTGACCTGGGTGCAGCACTTCACAATGTAGAAGAAACTAGCGTTGATGTCGCCTTCGCTAATGACATTGAGGCCAGCCTTTGCATCTTCCTGGAAGCTTTCAAGGATGACACACTAGCGTCCCACTGCTCATACTTCCCTCGAGCTTAACCTCCTGCCTGCCAAGCACAATCGATCAACTGATTGATGGCTGCTTCATCCAGTGCCACCTTGGTGGATCATTACTGCTCCTGCTGGTGGCTTACGTCTGACAGCTTGCCTTCCAAAAGAAGAGTGTGACGCATATTGCTCTCCAAAGGTCTCTAAGCCATCCGCCAGCCCTTGCAAGTTTGAATTGTTGCTCAATGCCTGGCATTTGGCTGGTATGAGGCATGCAGCACAGTGCAAGATTCATGCCTGCTTCTCCAACTATAGCAATCAGCAGCCAGAGCAAAACTTGTGTGGCTGCACCCTTTCCATAACCTCACGCTCGGCAGGAGTCTTGTTGCAAGGTGGTTTGGCCTGAGCAATGAAGAACGTCTTCATTCTGCATACACAAATGTGTTGCCAAACCAAGATGGAGGGAGGAACAACATTCAGAACCCTTCAAACAAACCAGTGCGCCACCTCCAGTCAGCTTGAATTGAAGAACCACCAAGCATGCAAAAATTGAATGGCCCGTTTCAAGGTGGTAGAAGAGTGGAAGGGCAAAGAAATCATCAATCAACCCGTGTTAATGTCTCAACCCTCTTGCTGAAACCCCATTTCAGAATCTGTGGCAAGAATCTGGCAAATTGAAGAGAATGGAAGAAGAAACCCACATGTGCGCAGTACAAAACTGGACAAATCCTGATGATATGCTCAGCACCAGGCCGCAGCAGTTTCCAAGAATCCTCCTCCAATTGCCTGCTCTACAAACAGTCCATGCGCTTGCAAGGTGGCTAGGGAAACTCACCCAACTTGATGACCCTGACCATCTACTCGGGAGTTTCCAAAGGTTTGCCCAGTCAGGTCAGGCCTTCCGTGTTTTGAAGTGCAGCTTTTCTCTCAGACCCAGCTCATCGAACTTGGAACGCCGCAAAATGATCGTGGAGAGCGGCGCTTTCCTCGGTTACGGAGGCATTTCGGAAAACAGCTGTGGTCGCGCCAGTCGACAAGGTACGCCGAAATGGTGGCTGTTCGGGGTTCGTCTCTTAAGAGCGCGTTCTCTCCAAAGTAGTCCCCCTCCTTCCATGAGTCAAAGTGAGAGCACCACGAAAGCTGTGAACGGTCTGAGAACCAATTGGGTCCTCGAGTTGCGCAACCTCCTGACCATTGACCTGGACAGACGTAATTCCCCACCTGCCGAGCGTTTCCTTTAAAACAGGCTGAGGTGAGGAACCAGGGAAACATCTTGTCAGTATATATATATATATATTTATTTGAAATCCTTATATATACCTATCGTAATACTGTAAGTAGGCTGAAAAAGGTAGCGTTGTCATCCACGCTGAGGCACTGAGGAAAATAAGAGAGCGAGAGCGAGAGCGAGAGCGAGAGCGAGAGCGAGAG